GGGGCGCCTGGGTGGCTTAGTCGGTTAAGCGTCCGACTTTCGCTTGGGTCATGATCTCGCGGTTCGTGGGTTCGAGCCCCGCGTCGGGCTCTGGGCTGGCTGCCAGCTCAGAGCCTGGAGCCTGTTTCAGTCTGTGACTCCCTCTCTCTCTGACCCTCCCCTGCTCACACTGTCTCTCTCTCTCCTAGAAATAAATAAAACATTAAAATTTAAAAAAAAAAAAAAAAAGAATCAGAAGCTTAACCAACTAATCACCCAGGCATCCCTGGGAGATTTTTTTTTTTAATGTTTGTTTATTTTTGAGAGCGAGTGAGCAGGGGAGTGGCAGAGAGAGAGGGAGACAGAGAATCCTAAACAGGCTCCATGCTGTCAACACAGAGCCCAGTGCAGGGCTCGAACCCACGGACTGTCAGATCATGACGTGAGCCAAAATTAAGTCAGATGATTAACTGACTGAGCCACCCTTGTCCCCTTGTTTGAAGATTTTTTTTATTACTGATTGACTGTCCTTACCAGTTATGAGTCTGTCCAGATTTTCTATTTCTTCAGTATTCAGTATTGGCAGGCTATATGTTTCTATGAAATTATCCATTTTTTTCTAGGTTAGCCAATATGTTGTCATGTAATTGTTCATGGTAGTCTCTTTTGTTCGATTTTATTCCTGTAGTATCACTTGTGATGTTTCTGCTTTCATTTCTGATTTTGAGTCTTCTCATATTTTTCTTAGTCTAACTAATGGTTTGCCAAGTTATTTATTGTTTCAAAAACCCAACTGTTAAGTTTCATTGGTCTTTCTATTTTTCTAGTGTCTGTTACATTTATTTCTGCTCTAATCTTTATTCTCTTATAACTGATTTTCTTGCATTCCATACATTTTAATATATTGTGTTTCTATTTTCCTTTGTTTGAATATATTTTTTGAATTCTTCTTTGACCCATTTGTTCAGGAAAATGTTTAAGTCCCACATATTTGTGATACTTTCCAGCTTTCCTTCTATTAATGATTTCTAGTTTCATACCATGTAGTTGAAAAAGATCCCTAGTGTTTTTTCAGTCTTCTTTAGTGTTAAGAATTTTTTTGTGATCTGGGGCGCCTGGGTGGCTTAGTCGGTTGAGCGTCCGACTTTCGCTTGGGTCATGATCTCGCGGTTCGTGGGTTCGAGCCCCGCGTCGGGCTCTGTGCTGACTGCCAGCTCAGAGCCTGGAGCCTATTTCAGAGTCTGTGTCTCCCTCTCTCTCTGACCCTCCCCTGCTCACGCTGTCTCTCTCTCTCTCTCCTAGAAATAAATAAAAAATATTTAAAAAAAAAAAAGAAAAGAATTTTTTTGTGATCTACACGTGAGAGAGTCCTAGACATGTTCCATGTGTACTTAAGAAGAATGTATAGTTTGCTGCAGTTGAATGGCATTTTCTGTATAAGTTTGTTAGGTCTTTTCAGTATTAAGTGTAATTTAAATCCAACATTTCCTTATTTATTTTCTGTCTGGATCGTCTGTTTATTGTTGATATAATAGGGTATTGAAGCCCCCTACTGTTAGAGCATTGCTGTCTATTTCTGCCTTCTGATCTGTATTTGCTTAATATATGTAAGTGCTTGGATATTGGGCATATATATGCTTGTAATTAATTATTCTGTTCTCTTGATAAATTAACTACTTTATCATTATACAAGACCTTTTTTGTCTCTTGTGATAGGTTTTGACCTAGTCTACTTTGTCTGACATAAGTATAGTTACCCTGCTCTTTTTTATTTTTCATTTGCATGTTTGCAGTTGGTCTCCCTCTTCCAATAAAATCAATGTGTACTTCACTAGCGTTTTTTTGCATTCAGGCTGCTGCTGCGGAGCAGAGGATGCGGACTCACCCCTTGATCAGAGCATTTCTGTAGGTGTGTCACAGGCCAGCGCGCCCAAAGCAGCTCTGTCTTCCCGGAAGAGCCACCCCTGTGAGATGTGTGGTCCTGTCTTGAGAGACATTTTCCGCTTGGCTGAGCACCAGGGAAAACCAAGCAGCCAGAAACTATTCAAGTATGGGGCATGTGTGAAACAGATTTATTCCAGTGCAGACCTTCAAGAGCATGAGAAGCAGCACATGAGAGAAAAACCCTGCAGAAGCAGTGTGGACGGGGCCCCATTTGTGAAGAGCAGTAATCTCCATGATTCAGAAAAGCCCTTTACCTGTAAAGAGGTTGAGAAGGACTTCCTGGTCACCTCAGAACATCTCCAACAACAGGCCACTCATACTGGGGAGAAGAAGATCACCAAGTGTGGGGTGACTTTTCAAAGCAAAGAAAGTCATTACATCCGGGAAGAGCGCAATAAAAATAAAGCCTTTGGTCCCAAACACACACTTGTTCAAGACAAGGGTATCCACACTGGAAGACAGTGTTTTGTGTGCCCTGAATGTGGGAAAACATTCAGGTACAAATCTTCCCTTGCTATTCACCAGAGAGTTCACAATGGTGACAAGCTTCATGTGTGTAGTGACTGTGGTAAGTCCTTTATGGGAAGCTCAACCCTCAGTCAACATCGAAGAATTCATACTGGGCCAAGGCAGTACAAGTGCAGCAAATGTGGGAAATCCTTTAGCCAAAAATTTCTCCTCCCTTATCCTCAGAGAAGTAACCCTGGAGAAAATTGTTATGTGTGTCGTGGCTGTGCTCATTCTGTTAGCCAGAGTGCCATCATTATTCGACAACGTACAATTCACACTGGAGAAATGAGTTATGAGTGCACTGAATGTGAGAAATCATTTAGACGAAAGTCTGATCTCATTGAACACTGGAGAGTACACACCGGAGAAAGGCCTTATGAATGTAGTGAATGTGGGAAATCTTTTACTTCTAGCTCTGCCCTCCGTTATCATCAGAGAATTCATACTGGAGAAAAACCTTATAAATGTAGTGAATGTGGAAAGTCTTTTACCTCTAGCTCTGGCCTCCGTTATCATCAGAGAATTCACACAGGAGAAAGACCATACGAGTGTAATGATTGTGGGAAGTCTTTTACCCAAATAAATCACCTCATTATACACCGAAGAGTTCACACAGGAGAAAGGCCTTATGAATGCAGTGAATGTGGGAAATCATTTAGCCACAAATCTTACCTCTCTCAGCACCAGAGAGTTCACACCGGAGAAAGGCCTTATGAATGTAGTGAATGCGGAAAATCTTTTACCTCTGGCTCTGCCCTCTGTTATCATCAGAGAGTTCACACTGGAGAAAAACCTTATGAGTGTAGTGAATGTGGGAAATCTTTTACCAATGGACCGATACTTATTCGACACCGTAGAGTTCACACAGGAGAAAGGCCTTATGAGTGCAGTGAATGTGGGAAATCCTTTACCCAAAGAAATCACCTCAATATACACCAGAGAGTTCACACAGGAGAAAGGCCTTATGAATGCAAGGAATGTGGAAAATCCTTTACCTCTGGCTCTGCCCTCCGTTATCATCAAAAAGTTCACATTGGAGAAAGGCCTTATGAGTGCAAAGAATGTGAGAAGTCTTTTACTTCTGCCTCTGCCCTCCGTTGTCATCAGAGAGTTCACACAGGAGAAAGGCCTTTTGACTGCAGTGAATGTGGGAAATCTTTTAGAGATAGTTCCCAGTTGAATCAACACCAGAGAGTTCACACTGGAGAAAAGCCTTATGAATGTAGTGATTGTGGGAGATCCTTCAGTCAGAACTCGTATCTCTCTAAACATCGGCGAGTTCACACTGGAGAAAGGCCTTATGAGTGCAGTGAATGCGGGAAATCTTTTACTTCCGTTTCTGCCCTTGGTTATCATCAGAGAGTTCACACTGGAGAAAGGCCTTATGAGTGTAGTGAATGTGGGAAATCTTTTACCAATAGTTCCATACTGATTCGACATCGCAGGGTTCACACAGGAGAAAGGCCTCATGAATGCAGTGAATGTGGAAAATCCTTTACCCAAAGAATTCACCTCATTATTCACCGGAGAGTTCACACAGGAGAAAGGCCTTTTGAGTGCAGTGAATGTGGAAAATCTTTTACCTCTCGTTCTACCCTCCATTATCATCAGAGAGTTCACACAGGAGAGAGGCCTTATGACTGCAGTGAATGTGGGAAATCTTTTAGCCGAAAATCGAACCTTTCTCAGCACCGGAGGGTTCACACCGGAGAAAGGCCTTAGATGGTTAGGAAGCATACAGTTTTCTTGTTAAGTGTAATGATATCAGAGGCAACTCTTTGTGAGACACCATTGGCCTGAATTCAATCTACTACATCCAAATGCCACTAGAAGAGAGATTTCCCATAAGTTTCAGCTATGTGGGAATCATGTGTGGCTGTGTTGCAGTTTCTAAACTGCTGAGGGCTTTCTCCAGGTTTATTTCACTGCCAGTCTGGCCAAAGCTAATTACTCCTACCCTGGCAAGTCTCTACAGCATGCTTCAATCATCACCCCACTGTGCTCAGGGAAGCTGACTTTTGTTCTTATTGTTGGAGGAAATGAGGAGTAACCTGAGTCTTTGGGGGACCCACATTTCCTTCTTTCTGACTAATTGGCATAGGCCTGGCCAGTGTTGTCCTAGAGAACATCATACGAGTTCTGCTGGCAGGTTTCAGAGAAGGACCAGCATTTTCAGGGATGTGGTCTCCAGAGACATTTGTGATGCATTTTTCCAGCTTTCAAGTTACTCAAGAACTGCTAGCCCCTGTTGCTTTGGCTCGTACACTAACGAAGTCTTTGTTTAAGTCCTTTTCAATCTTGCGTGTCTTTTATTTGCCACATCCGGTGGTTTATAAACATTTTGTGATATACAAGCATGAAGGGGTGAATAGCTTTCATTGGGGGAGGGTCTCAAATTTCTGTGCCTCAGGGGGACAGTATGGTGGCAGAAATGAGTTTGCCAAGTTTGCACTGTCCGTGGCCTCCTAGGAAAGACTGCATAGTCTTCTGGTCCTCATTTGAAGCTAGATGCTATGGGTTTTGGGAAACTCAGAGACCATCCTGAGGAGGGGCAGGTGTGAGAACCTCAGGTGCGTCTGGGAACAACATGAATTTTTTCCCCTTGTTTACAGGGGATAGCACAGGGAATGTCAGTCCACACTGCTGAGGGCCACCTCTTCCCCAGTCCTGCAAAGAGCCATGTGCCCTGATGCCCACATGTAGGACATTGGTTGTAAGTCTGTAAGGTTCAGGGGAGACCAGAACTGCTTCAGAAACACTGACTTAACGGAGTGGAGGAGGCCACAGCCAACTAGATGGAATGTGCCTCTTCTGAAAGTGTGCGCATGAACACTTCTGCAGCGGCTGTGCTGAGCCAGGGTGTGCACAAGCCCGCAGACCTCCAGGTGGATGGGTCTGGTGTAGCTTACGTCATTGCCTTTGAAAATAAAAGTTTTTGTGGATTCCTGTAGCCTCTTCCTAATGCTCATCTCAAGACCACTGCCGCACAGGCAGGAAAACAGATGGAGCAAAGGGGGAATCTGTAGTCCGGGCGGGGACGCCACTTTTGTGACCCAGCCAGCAGTCCTCTTAACTCTCTTGGCGAGTCCTTCATTGGTCACTATATTTGCGTTCACGGCAAAACTAGCCTCCGCGCGGTGAGAATGTGTGTTGAATGTAGGGTTGCAAAACCTATTTTCCAAAAAGAGTTGGACAGATCTTTTTAATCTTGAATCATTTCAGAAAGGTTTATTAAGATATAATTTACATGTAATAAACTGTACATATTGGAAATGTAATCTTTAGTAAGTTTTGACATACTTACAAACCTCAGAAAACATCGTGGTCTTGATAGTGATCATATCAGTCATTGTATATTTACCTCATCTCCTTTAATATTTAATCTCTCTACTTGCCTTCAAAGCCCTCCAAGTAATTTACTTTCCATTTAAAAAAAAAAAAAACCTCTATCTTCCATAATTTATATAGTGGGAATCAAAGGGTTTTTTTTCCTACTTTTTAAAAAGTTTTTAAAATTTTATTTATTTTGAGAGAGAGAGTGTGGGTGGTGGGGAGAGAGTAGGGAGGGAGAGTGAAACTCAAGTAGAAACTCAAGCAGCGCAGAGCCAGGCATGGGGCTTGAACTCATGAACCCTGAGGTCATGACCTGAGCCAAAATCAAGTCGATGCTTAACCAGCTGAGCCACCCAGGTGCCTCTTCCCCCCCCCCCCCCGCTTTTGTGTTGCATAAATAATTGTAGATTCATCAATGGTATATAAGTAGGTTCTCTTGGGGTTGTTTTGGTTTGTTTTTTTTTAGTACACCATTATTAGTCTACCCCATTAATTTGTTTACAGGCATTTGGGTATTTCTAGTTTTTGTGTATGGAAAATAAAGTTGGTATAAACATTTGTGTGTAATTATTTATATGGATATGTGTTTCACTTATTTTTTGTCCAGTAACTCAGACTGACAAATGTTTAACTTAAAGAATTTAGCATATTGTAATATAAATGGTTCTATCTTTTTGTACTCTTCTGCAGTGTATGAGAGTTCCATTTCCTTCACATCCTAATGAATTGTTTGGCTTGGTCAGTCATTCTTAATTTTAACCCCTTTTATAAGTTTATAGTGGAGTATTAGTGTTTTAACTGCATTTCCCTAAGGAGTCATGATGAGCAGTTTTTTCAGAGGTGTATTTGCTATCTTTATTTTTGCTAAACTGCTCATATATTCTGCCTATTTTATGAATTGTGGTTATTTTCCTCTTACAAAACGATGTGAAACAACAAATGTATTGGAATTTCATTTTGTGACTTTTGCTTTGCGGGATAATTATTTTTAATATTGGAAGTATATGTTCTCATTGTTTTTGTTTTTTTATGCTATGCATAATGGACACACATAAACACTTTTAATCTGCATTAACATATTCTTCACTTTCTAAAGTCCAAACATTTAAGAAAACAATAAAGCGTTGCTTTGTAGTGTCCGCCCATTTTCCTGGTCTCTGTTTATAGAGTTTGGTGGGTTGGAGCAGGACTCTCGGGGCACCAGGTGGACTCAGGACTGAGAAGGTGTTTTTGAGTCCCAAAGCCCAACAGAAAGGAAGTAAGGAACTGATCGGGATCCCTAAACCCTGGATTTGAATTCCAGATCCCCAGGACACATCCCCATCTTCTGTGGGCCTTAGGTTCCTCTTGTGTAAAAGGTGTGTAAGGTGTGGGCTGCTCCTCAGCGTTCAAAGGTCAGAAGCCCCTTTGTGCAACCTGTGCATTGGCACCTGTGGCCTCTCTAGGCTTGGGTAGTCCCAGCTCCTGCCTGCGGTGGCATCCTTGGGCCAGGCTACTTCCCCGGTGCCCCAACAGCCCTCTACCCGCAAGAGAAGCTGGGCTTCACCTGGGAATCTGGGTAACTTGTTACTGTCCCCCGAGCCTCAGCTCCCTGACTGGCACGGAGGCGATGATGCTGCTTACCTTGGCCCCTGTGCGAACTACTGTGACTTGCACCCTGAGCATGTGTCAGGGCCAGGACTCCCAGGCTCGCGTTGTGAGCATCTCATCCTCAGCAGCCTGAGGAGGTGGGAATGGTTATTGGATTTCCAGGGAAGTCCAGGGTTGGGAAGGTGGAGTTGGTTCCCCAAGGTCATACAACAGACAAGTGTCAGACTTGAGACACTGGATTCAAACCTGAACGACTGACTCCAGACTTGGGGTATGTTTAACCCCTGTACCCACAGCCCATGAAGCCCTCAGCCCAGGGCAGGTGCATAGCAAGGACCACGGAGGTGCTGCTGCTGCTGCTGCTCTTGCTGGAATTACCATGACCGTTTTCCCACTTGCCTTCTGCCCCCATTGACCTCATGGGGAAGCCATTTTCGTCTCCAGCGGCCTCCCCCAGGGGAGGCTTTTCTCTCAGCCACAGTAGCATGTACACAGCTGCATCAGCCTCCTTGAGCCCAGCGCAGAGCTCGAACCTTAAGACACCTTGGGGTTAGGTTTCAGGGTTAGGTGTCTCCATCTTTATCAGCAATGGAGTGACAAGCTCTGATCCTACTTACCAACCCGATGGTCAATATGATGCCTTATTTTGACTTTCAGCTGTTCATGACCTTCACTCTGGTGGACTGGACACAACCCAGAGGATCCAGTACCTGGAGGTGATGCTGGAGACCTTTGGGCTCAGGTCTTGCTAGGTAAGGGCTCACCTCTCTCTGCCCTGCTCCATCTCTGCTTTTCCCATAGAAGGTAGCACTGAGCTCTGGAAAGAGCCAGGTCCCAATGCAGCCTCTCTCCCTCTCTGTGTGACCGTGACACAGACACGTGGCCCAGTGAAGGACTGACGGCAGCTGCTTCAGAGGTTCTGCCATGGGTTATCCTCTTGCCTCTCTGAGCCTGCAACACCGACATGGGACAGGGAGAACGGAGTTGTACAGGCAGGTGAACACCAGGCAACTCCGGCAGCAGGACGACAGCCAGTGCGTAAGGTTGGAGGTTATAAAATTGACAAATACTGCCCTTCAGAAGAGCACAAGGGGGACGCAGGGGTAGTGGAACAGAGATGGAATCATGGCGGAAGCCCCAGGCCCTCGCTGCCCTGCTCCTGGCTTGCTCGTGTGACCGCCAGGAAGTTACTTAGCCTCTGCCTGGTGGAGGTTATAACCCATGCCCTGCTTACTTCTCGCGGCCACTATGAGAAAGAGAAGATAATGGTTGTCAAAGTGCAAGTGCCAGACCGATATTAGGTATCAGTTTTGTTACAATTTTTAAGATCTGGTGCCTGACCCAAAGGAGTTCACAAGAAGGGGAGGGAGGGGGTTGGGTGAACGGCCAAAGTGCTTTCCATCGTGGTTGTATGGTTCTACATCTCCACCAGTACTATTACTGAGAATTAGATGGAAAAGAAAAGAAGCCTCAGTTCTTCAAGCTGCCACGGGAAAGAATTGCAGGACAGCAAAATGAACGTAAAGCCGAGCAAAGTGTCACTAAAGTACACTCCAAGGGAGACAACACCCTCCCCCAAACTCCGCCAAGTAAGCATGTCTTTTCCCATGATGCACTAGAAATGCCTGCAGGGATGGGAACCCACCTTACTTCTGTTCTGGAGACACAGGTAAGGACAAGCGCTGCTTTCTGCACACGCGCAACAAGCACAGCCAACAGCTCTCCTCCTGCTGGGAGGCTGGAGCCGCACACCGACTGCTGGGTGGGTGGACTGGGGTGGTCACGGGCGGCCTTTGGTTGGGGCTCTCCATCAGGGTGTCAAAGGTCCATCCTCCTGCTGCGCATGCCTAGCTTCCTGCCTACCAGTGGCCTACGAGAACTTCAGTTTCTTGAGATGCTCACCAACACTTGGTGTAACCCATCTTTTTAATGTTAGCCATTCCGACATTTGTCTCCTGGATCTCCTTATAAAACTGGAGGACAGCGCCTGGTAGCCTTCTGTGTCTTTCAGAAGCAACACTTTCTCAACTAGAAACACTTCTCTTATGCCAGACGATATGGAGGTCATGGATGGGGTCCTGTGGGAAAGAGCTCTCAAGCAGATCTGGGCCGTTGTGGGAGCGGTCCTGTTCACCTGGCCACAAGATTGAGCAGACCACCTGGTGGGAAGCGTGCAGTGTGGGGTTGGAGCAAGAATCCGAGCCAAAGAATCACAAGACAGTCCCCTGGGGCTCTGGGGGGAGGAAGCCTATGCCATCTGTAGTACAGATTTCTACATCATTTTGAAACAATTCCTGTTTAGTCATTGTATCTAAAGAGCATAACAGTGAATATGGGGTATTAAATATCTGTGCATCCAGAACAGCCCACAATGAGAAGTTCTCTCGGACAACCAAATTATAAAGTCAAAGGACTCTGGTGTGTTTCATTAGAAGGTAGAAATGTGCAGTCAGGATTAAGCCAGATCAGATCTAGAGGATGCAACTGGGCTTCATGAGAAGCCACCAACATGGCAACAGCTCACTATAATGGCTGTACTGGGTGTTCTGCGTAGCCAGATGGAGGAGGAGAAGGCTTGAGCTTGGGTTCTGCTTGGCTCATTTTGGTTTACGGTTGCAAGGAAAATCAACAGTAGCTGCGTCGGAGCCTCATTCAAGGTGTCCCTGAGAGATAATGGAGAAGCAACAATTTTCCAACGCTTTGATCTGGCCATCCACGTTGTGTGGAATAATTATTATCCCAAGCTGATAATCTATGTAGACTCCAGGTAGCAGCCAGTGATCTGCCCTGGTGAGGAATGAAGAGTGAAGAAGATTGGAAAACCAGGGTGTCTATAGTAGAGGCATGTGGATGTACTTACAGAAATGTGCACACGGTAGGAAGATTTCTGTCTGGCTTACTAACATTTACCAAAATCTGTCACCAACCAATTCAAACAACAATCATATCAATTGTCTTACACTCCAGGCAAGCTCCCAGTCCTGGGACATTGTACTGGCTATTTCTTCTCCACAGGACATCTTCCCCAAGTATCCAAATCTCTCCTTCCCCTCCTTTGTGCGGTCAAATATCTCCCTATGAGAACACCCTGATCCCTCTAATTCCTATTGAAATCCTCCTGACTCCACATCCTTGCCGTTACTTGGTAATGCTCTTATTTTAGATTTCCACAGCACCTGCCACCTCATAATTTAGTATAATATAGAATAGTTTCTTCACTACTTATTGGTCACTCCCCTCATTAACAGTTTTGAATGCAGGCTGTGGGAGGACACATTTCCTTCTTTACTGATGTATAACATATCTAGACCAGCCTCTGAACAAGATGTTTACTGAATGTTTCGAAACAATGAAACAGCGCAAGGCTACATAGCTTTTCTTCCATTTTTCCACGTATTGCTATTCTCGTTTGATTATTTCTTTCCCTCTAAGTCTAATTTTCCTCAGAGTCCTCAAGAGTGAGAAAAAAAATAACATATTTTTTAGAAAGAAGAATTTCCTGGTGGCCAAGTTTCCAGCATAGCCGTGGGTTCAACTTTTTTTTTTTAATGTTTTTTTAAAAATTTATTTCTAGGAGAGAGAGAGAGAGAGACCGCATGAGCAGGGGAGGGTCAGAGAGAGAGGGAGTCACAGACTCTGAGACAGGCTCCAGGCTCTGAGCTGGCAGTCAGCACAGAGCCTGACGCGGGGCTCGAACCCACGAACCGCGAGATCATGACCCAAGCGAAAGTCGGTCGCCTAACCGACTAAGCCACCCAGGCGCCCCCGGTTCAACTTAATTCTTTCACGCCTTAGAGCTTAATGTTCTCTGCCTACTGCCTGAAGGTTCTGCACTCAAGTCCAGTGTCGGTGGTACTGGGGGATCCGTGGGGGTTGCACACAGCACCAAGCAAGTCTCTGACACCAGCTAGCTGTCCTGCAATTTAAATCAGTTCTGACGCTATCTACCCAGAGATAGCCCAGATCCCACAGGTTGAGGGCTCAGTCCTACAAGACTGCCACCGTCCCCTCCCCCACTTCAGATACCAGTCCCAAGCCCGTGTTGTCACCTGTGCTTCTCACCTACCTATGTTTCATCTCGCCACGAGCCCCTTTCGAGGCGTTAATGTAATTTTGGACTTCCCTCATTACATAACTCATTTGTTCAATTTGAAAATTAGAAAGGTGCAGAAGTAGAGGGGTTTCTACCACCAGGCAAAACATCTGCATAAACTGTTAAGCCTCAGTTTTGTCAGATGGGTGAAAAGACTACTATCACCAGGAAATTATAATGGTTTAGGAGATTTGCATCAGGAACTAGGGCAGATATACATTATTTCAGGTGTGAATGAGAAATGGTAGTATTAGAAGAAGTCATCAAGAAGACATGACCATCGGTTGAGCCAAGAGATGGGCCTGAGCAATCAGAGGCTCCTTACCCCACCCGTCTTTGGAATGTCCACTCTGCCTGCCTTCCCTGCACTAGAAGCTGCC